CATGGACATGAAGTAACTATGCTATTTACAAGGCGATACGCCGAACATACCGCCCACCAAAATACGACGTATTTTCTATGCTTGAACAGATTCCTCTGGTGAAGTGTCCATCGGCAGTGGGCACAACTTCGCCAGAGGACGGGTAAGCACGCCATCCGCCGTCTGCACCGTAGCGACCCGAGCGACGCCGTCACGGCCCGGGTGCAGCTCCACGATTCGCCCTTGCCTCCATTGCAAGGGAGGGGCGTTTTCGCCCTTTACCAGGACCAGTGTGTCCTTTTTTACCGTAGGTGCCGATTGCAACCACTTCGGTCGTTGTTGGAGGGTGTGTAGGTACTCGTCATGCCACCTCCTCCAGAACTGTTGGTGCATGTGTTGCACCATTTGCCACCGATCGAGTCTGTTTTTCGGCACCGGGTTCAGGTCAGGGTGTGGAACCGCCATGAAAGACTCCAGGGTGAGGAAATACCCCGGGGAAAGCACCCCAAGGTCGCTGGAATCTGAACTGGTGGGACAGAGGGGTCTGGAGTTCAAGATAGCTTCTACTAGGATCCAGAAGTTTTGTGCCAAGATGTAATGTGACGCTCGACGTCCCGGATACAAATGTAGGCGGTGGGTGCGCTCTGCTATAAGTTCCGTGAGTCGATGTCGGTTAAACAGCAATGCGGGGTGTTTAACCTTGTATGAGATGGCGGAATGGGTGAGCCTGCCGCCCACCCTGAGGACTCCGCGACCATCCAAGAAGGGGGCGAGTTTTCGCAGAGGTCTGGAGCAACTCTGATTGCGTCTTAAGCTACCGATATCCTCTGCGAAGCAACGAGATTGTACAAATTTGACGAGGTATAACAAGGTCGACTAAAATTCGGTTTGATCCACGACGAGAGTGAGCGCATTTGATCTAGTTTTGGTAACGAATCGGATACAATATGCGAACATGAGTGGGGTCAAGAGCCCCCCTGGATCAAGGATGCGAGTTCGTTCGGGACCTCCGAATGAGGTCCGGCCGCTTGGCGACACCCAACGAGCCCTCCGCGATGGCGGGAGGAACAAGGCGATACGCCAAGGCGGCGGTAAGGTCCTACCGTTCGGCGATACCCGAGCGGTGATACACCGAGACGGCGGTGTCCAAGGGCCCCGTGAGTGTAGGTCACCCGACGGTGCGCGATGACGAGATGAGTGTGTAGGTACTCGACCTCGTCCAAACAATGCTATGGATGTGCGGATACCTTCGCCGCGACGTGCCCATGCGACGCCCGGACGAGAGACATCACGCGCGCGGTTGTCCCCGCCGCGACGCGCCCATGCGGCGTGCGGACGAGAGACCTCGCGCTTGAGATTGTGACCCCCGAGCGCGTGTGACTCGGCGGTGCATGATGACGAGGTGAGCGTGTAAGGACTCGACCTCGTCCCAACAAAACGACAATTGCGCGGATGTCCTCGCCGCGACGTGCCCATGCGACGCCCGGGCGAGGGACATCCCGTGTGGTGAAACGAAACAACGATTGCGCGGATACCTTCGCCGCGACGTGCCCATGCGACGCCCGGACGAGAGACATCACGCGCGCGGTTGACCCCGCCGCGACGCGCCCATGCGGCGTGCGGACGAGAGACCTCCCGCTTGAGTTTGTGACCCCCGAGTGTGTGGGAATCTCGTCTAACTGCCAACATCGACTGAGAGATGCATCTAGAGAATCGAGAGTCAGGAACGAGTGTGTAGACCGAGATGCCTGAGTCGACACTGAGCCAACCAGAACCCAGCCGAAAATGGAATTAAAGGCGTCTGGTTCACCTTTCCTTCCTAGACGACGACCGTCCCGAATCAACGAGGCAAAGATATCTGCGCCGATTAAGAGGTCGACGGGACCAGGTCGGTGATACTGCGGATCCGCGAGCTTTAATCCCTCTATGTGTTTCCACGCTCTTTGTTCGACTTGTCTACTAGGTAATTGGGCGGAGATGCGTGGGAGAATCGTAGCCTCTATCGGAACGCGAGTATTGCCATTACCCTGTACTTGAATCACGAGTGAGGTGCTACCTCGAGTAGCAGCCGCCTTAGTATCACTTACCGCTAGGACTACAGTACGACACTTGGTTCGTTTGAAACCACCCTTTTTCATGCAATTTTCCGAAATGAAATTTAATTGACTGGCACTGTCTAAAAGAATGCGAACAGGGAAGAGATTTCCGTGAACGTCGAGAACTTCGGCCTGCACCGTTGACAATAATACTGTCAAACTCGATTTCGCGACGCTAGCCATGGTGACGAGGGGTTCATTATGTTGTGGCGACGAACTCTCGTCGACGGCCGATTCGGAGGAGGCTCCGGTATCCGCCGGGGTGTCCGCTGGACCCGAATTCCGTCCGAAATGCAATAGGGTATGATGCCTAGCCTGGCACGACCGGCACGTTCCCGTTGATGTGCAGTTGTTAGCGCCATGACCCGCGCGAAGGCAATTGAAACACAAATTCGCGGTTTTGGCCCTCAAATGCCTTTCCCGGGGGGGTAGTTTCAAGAATCGAGGGCACTCAAACACGAGATGTTGTTCCTCGCACACCGGACAGTCGGCGGTTCGAG